CGCTGAAGAACGACATTCATTATGCAAGAACCTAAAAAATATCATTATAACATAAACTGTAAATTGCTTTGACGAATGATCAGAAATTCTCTTCAAAAATATCACCAATCCAGCTCTTTTCACTTTGATCAAAGAATCAGAATGCGAAAGGTGTGCGATAGTTCTCGTTCGAATCATTCGACGCCATTAGCGCAGAAATCTCTTTCGCTCATCCCGATCGTGCAAATATTAGATGAGTGCAAAAGTTTTGATGGATTTCGCTCCAAAATAGTAGACTAATAATAATAATTCTTTCCTAACATATATATGTACCTATTTTCCATAGAAATTTCTCTTCTAATAAACATATTTTTGGAATACTATTATTATTATTGAATTTATGCAATTAAATTGTAAGAATAAATTTACAGTCTACCACACAGATGGGTATTAACACAATAGTTTTTTCACAAAAATTACAAATATTTTTTACAGTGTTTGGAACGTTGTATATTCGTGGAATTTTCAAAATTTGTTTCAAAGCTCAATCTGAATTTTATTTCAAACAATAGAGCACACTCAATTACGTCGACTTTTGTTCTAAACAACAATTCACTGTGCTATATTGACGTTGACGAATAGAATGAAACTATGTAATACGCCTCGCGTGACAAAACGCCTCACTATTGTTTTACGCACACAAATAAGAATACACCGCTGCAAACGACATGTTTGTACGTGTGATGACATAAACGAGGCATTTTATCAACTGGGACGTATTGCAGTTTGTGCATTCAAAATTCAACCTTTTATAAATCATATTCAACTTTATGCAAATCAAATTCAACCGTGTTCAAATCAGATTCAATTTTCTGCAAATCAAATTCAACGTTTCGCAATTTCCGAAATAAACAATAATGAAAGAACATTTCAAAAAATTCACTCAAAACTAAAATTTCAAATCACATTTTCAGAAGAAACAATTCTTTTCAGTTTGAATTTTTCTTTTGTATTTTTTCATTACTTTCTATTTTTGAAATTGCAAAAGGTTGGATTTTAATTGTAAAAGAGTGAATTTCATCTGCAAAAGGGTGAACTTGATTTGCAAACGGGTGAATTTAGAGTACAAAAAGTGTACCTAGTTTCACTGTAATATATTACGAATTTTAGGGGCGGGGGACAATTAAACATAATTGTTTATGACTTCCACAAAACTATGACGATCGCACCTCCCTCAGTAAATCCATCAAAACATTTCCACCAACCCAATGGAATCACGTTCGCCGCCGCGGAGCGTTACATCGCGCGCGCATTAATTCCTCCGCAATATACCTAGCCGTTTCTTGGCCACGAGTTTCCCTCTCTCCCCCCTGACAAGTGAAAACTGGTGGAAATTCTTTCAGCGTTCAAAGATTCCACGTGAACGGTCCCGGCCCGCCGCTAATTACCCCCGTAATTACATGCCGGTCTTATCAGCCTTGGTTCGTGTTACACGTTACACGCTCTAAATCGTCGCGAGCCAATGAACACGCTGGCATAATATGACATCACTCCGTTCGTCCTTCTCTCTTTCTTTTTCTTACCTTTTTCCTTATTCCTGCTCATCCTCTCTCGGCGCCGCCGTTTCTTTCTGACTGCTCGTTCTTTGAACTTCTGCATTCAACCCAGGAGTCCGGTAATAATTAGCGCCGGGCCAAAGAGTCCGACGAGACTTCCGCGGGAACGAGAGAAACAGGGGGATAGAGTGAGCGAGTGAGATAGGTGAAGAAGAAAAGAAACGAATCGGGAAAATTTACGGAACACCCGACGACGGCTTTGCTAAAAAAAAAGGAGAGCAAGCGGATAATGCGAGCCACAGGGAAGAATCTCTGGGGCGTTCTTAGTCGTCTCTTCTCCCTGTTTGTTTTTCTTTTACACTGTAAATTTAATGAAGCTCGATAGGTTTGGATTCTGCTCAGTAAATATTGATCATAAATATTGATTGGTTCGGGATGATTCAATTCGGGAGAGATTGAGATTTTCGAGTGACTCTGTGGATCCTTCCCGAGTAATCGGTGGTTATTATCTTGAAGATGCTGGATTCTTTGATAAGAGATTCATGTTTATGACGATATTGGGACATGCACGTTTATGGGAATTATGTGCGCCAAGTAGAGTTGGCTTGGATAAATGTGGTTATATAGTATAAGGACGTTTGTTACTGATGAAGGATTTTTCTTTGTCCCTGACTGAGAGGATACTGTTGCATTTGGCTGAACTTCCGAAAAGCCCCCACACCCGATCACCTTGACCTTGATATATGTTATCAAGGTCACCCCCCTGAGTAACATTTAAAAGGTTTAAGTCGCCGATTATTATTTATTAAAAAGTTATTAACCAAGAACGATAGAAAACTGTACTGTAATTATTCCATAAATCAGAACCTTTCGGTACGAAGCACGGAAATATTTGGCGGCAGCCCCCCTCCAAAACAACAGACGACTTTCTACGCTGTCCGAAGTATGCCTAAGCACGGTGATTATTTATTTTAGAAGGTTCGCTCACTATAATAAATTATGTCGGTAAGGTAGGGAATGATATTCAAATGGTAAAAAACTTTTTTTCAACTCACCAAAAATCCTTCTCGCAATCATCATTTTTGTCAAAAAACAACACATTTTGAAAATTTCATCCAATTCGGAGTATGGGGTTTTCGGAAGTTTAGCCAGAAAAAAGGTCGGGTGGGGGTGCAGGGGTGGGGCCGTGCCCCTCCCCCGCTTGTGTTGAAAACAAATAATTAATATAAATGCTATGCCCACGGCAAAGTTCAGATTTCCGGGAAAATTGCGGTGTATATATCGATCTTTCTTTGTTAATAACTTTTTAGTAAACAATAGTCGGAGACTTTAACCTTCTAAACGTTATTCAGAGGGGTGACCTTGATAACATATGTCAAGGTCAAGGTGATCGGGTGTGGGGGTTTTTTGGAAGTTTATCTTTGCATTATTTATGTACTCGGGATTAAAGTATTTTGTCAGGCGATGAACTTGTTAAAACTTCGGTTAAAAGACATTGTTACGCGTTTGTTATAATTTTCTTGTAAAGTTTTTACTCGACTCGATACGGACGTATTGTATGATTTTTACAGAGGAATTAAACAGATCCAGTGTTTGCGATTTTCCACAAGCAAATATTCCTTTTCATAAATGGAACGTTGCAAGGATAAAGAATTATGGAATAAAGTAAGGGAAAAGGAAATGAAATTACGATAAATTCTTTGTGTTTGAATGAGTACAGTAGGGATTTGTTAAGTGCTCGGCAGAAATTTCTTCGATTTTTAGCTTTGACTGAAACTGAAACATTTTTGTAACATCATTTTCTATGGGAGTGTTTCTAACGGGTTTACATTTTATTTTAAAAAATTACCTCCAAAATGGTTTTAGTTTGATAGCATAAACAATTAGAACTTTTATAAAAAAAAACATTGTCTAACTCAAGATATCTATATCTACATTTTATGAAAATAATCGCAAAGGAGTATCTATATACATACAATACTAATTATTATAGTAAACGAAGTACAATAATTACTGTTATATTTATAATATATTTATTTTTATCACGTTCATTACGAGGGTAGAGTGTGTAACTACGTGCAGTTAATGAATCTCTGACCGTCTTAGATATACAATATATTTCAATATATATTCAATTATAAATTCTGTATCGTGGTAAGACGAAACAATAATACATTGTATCGCGTAGTTGCAAATAATAACACGAATTCTCATGTTACTCCGTATCATCATGCAATATTAGTATGTGGAACTTGGGCTCGCCACGAGCGATTTCACGAGACCATCAAGCACACGAATGATTACAATCGCGGTATAATATTACAAACTCTGTTAGTCTAATGAAGTAACTTTAATAATAACACGTCGTAAATTAATACCGTAACGATATCCCGTGATAATGATCGCGAAATAATAATTCATGTGGATATAGTGGTCGGGGGTGGTTGGTGATGATGGTTTACTGCAATACGACTAATCTTTTCTTGTATTATTTGCAATATTCTTGGTGCTCGCACGAAAAATGAACGAAATGGCATGCAAATGGAATTTTACAGGAGGTGAGTCCTAATTTCTTAACTTCACCTAACGCCTGTTTTCTCTAATCCTGAATCAGCTTGCCCATATAAACTTTTATTTTTTTGTTCTGTTCTTGTCTGCTTGTCGCCGATTATTAACGAAGAAGTTAAACACACATATTGGATTGAATAATTGAAACGAAACTGTTCGATTAATACGTCTGTTAATATATTTATTAATAGCACAGAGGTTTTTAACTGTCAAGTGGTTGAATACATTTCTTACATAATTACGTTTATCAATATGTTTCACTATAACTATAATCATATTCGAAAGTGAAAAATTGTTCAGTAACATTTAAATTTATGAATTTTAATTTGTACCTTTAAATATACGTTTTGGGAAATAAATGATTATTTCCAACTTTGAGAGAAAAGTTTAAAATAAAATATACTTTTGAATTGTTTCTTAACTAACCGTAACATTCTCATCGATTTCTATTCCCTGTCGTCGCTTCTGTATCTGTTCCTTGTATCGCTTGCAACAATACCGTAACGTCAGCCATTGTTGTACATTGCCCGATTCCACGGCCCCCGCTAATTCCGTTTCACAGATAATATTATTCACCGCTGATTGATCCGTAGAAACAGCGAATAAATTACCGTGTTTTCCATCTCTCTGTTATTTTCGTTCTCCGTCCCTTTTGGAATATGAATATTTGACATACATTTGGTTGTTAAATATATAATTTCACCGGGACGGTCGTGTATTTCGTTTGAAAAGCCACTCGTGCACGGTGTTCGTTCTGAATTAAGTTCACGATTTTGAGTGTTATATAGCAATAATAAAGAAACAGGAACTTGTTAAATTGTTTTTGTTTCTTTTGGAACGTTGGCCCCGTTTGGTCGGTGAATGAGAGTCTGTGATTTTCTTTTTGTCGTGGAGTAGAAGCAGCAAGAGATGAACAAGAACAAAGAGATCATCGTGTTGGATCATAAACGATCGAACGCCATCAATATCGGGATGACGAAGTTGCCGCCGCCGAGATCGATTAAGACTGCCATCTTGAAAATGGATGCAACCATTATGAACCGAGAGGGTATCGAGGTAAGAACTAGATTTTTCTTGCTTCTTTCGTTACACTGAATAGATATTCCGAATATTTTCGATGAATCGGTTGGTTAAAAATTAATAGATTATGGATTTATCTTAAAAATTCTTAATTTAGTGTTCAAAATCAGCTGTCAAACAGACATTTATCTTTCCGTGTAAAGTTTTTATTCAGTGAAGTACAAAAGGAAACATTTATTAACCTTTACCGAAGGAATCGGTTTGTTATGTTTTGCAGCATAATAATCAAAGTTAAATACTTTAGTAATATTAAATCTATATTCCGTTTTGGTATACATGAATTTCATTCGAAGAAAGACAGTAAATAAATCTTTAATCGTGATGCTGCTTGACTTAAATGTAGGTAATGATCTAATTACTTTTTTTTGAGTCCATATTTAGTCGTATTTGGTCTTCCATCTAAATGACCTCAACCTTATCCAATTAGAAGCACTCAACTTAACTTAATATTACTTTACTTGATTTGACTCGATTTAATTGAATACAGTTTAATCTTACTCGATTCACAATCGAGTGCACAGAGTTTCATGTGACATCCCTTACTTTGTTCAGAGATCATTTCAACCAATTTCATTTTATCTGTCTACTTTCAATTTAACTTAATTTGACTTAACACTAATATGTACATTCAATTTGACCATCATCCAATCAATCTTATTCTGCTATCAAAATCACTTCTCCGCTCTTCGAATTCATATACTATGTTATTATTTATCATTATTACTATTGTTACTAAGGACTTATACATAGATATATTACATTCAGTAATATCCATAGTACAGTAGAACGTTGATTGTCAAAACTCTTAAATAGAGATTATTGGAACACCGAACGAGTAGTTGAAGATGATACATATTGTTTCGTCAATTTTTATTGATATATGAAATTGTGGTTTCCTAGACCAAATATCTTAAAAACAGTTTATCAGAATGAATTTATTTCCCCGTTAATTCTGAAAATCGAGGTTCTATTATAATGTATCAGTAACGCAGTTGAAAAATAACATTCCCCACCCACAAAGACATCACCACGGCATTCCCAGAAATACAAAATGTAGATCTTTCTGACGTTTCTCCACTTGTTTGTTAATTTCACCCTCGAAAGAAAATGTTTGTCACGATCCCAATTTCGTTTCGAAGCCGTCGAATTGAAAGCGTGACTGGCGACAGTCACGATCCTTGGTTAACAGTGGTCCCTACAATTCAGTTTAATACGCACGTATGCTCTGTTTTTCCGTGTTCTTTCTGATTTCTCTAATTTCGTGGTCGTTCTCTTTTCTTCGTTCGTTCCCTTTTCCTTTCCCCCCCTTGGCCCTCTCCGCCACGACAGAAACTATTGACGATGCTGCCAACCGAGGAGGAGAGGTCGAGGATACAAGAGGCACAGGCCGCCAATCCTGACCTACCTTTGGGATCGGCCGAGCAGTTTCTTCTAACTTTGGCCTCCATCTCGGAGTTACCCGCCAGACTGAAACTTTGGGCGTTCAAGCTGGACTTCGAGAATTCGGAGAAGGTGAGTCACAATGCTCTAGCGAATTATTGATGAGCTGGCGGTTTGTTGCGTTGCTTGCGAATTATTGGGCGCATCGATGCGTAATCCATTATTTTTTTTGCCAAATTTAACTATTTTTATTCTAGGAAACTTAGAAACAGTTGCAATAAACCTTTGATAGTATTGTCCAGTGTTCTCTAACACAATACGAATCAAATAGAAATAATAGACACTGAAATAGTAGAATTTTCCAACAAAGGGACAGTAATTGACTTTGTTTATTCATGGTATCGAATTGTAATTTGAAGATACATTAAAATTCCTTTGAAATCGTCACTATCTGTCAGGTATGGCAATAAGCTCCGTTTCTCGAAGATACCATATTCAGGTTATGATCGAAGGATTATTCAGTGGCTATAACATTAATTACTGGACAGGAGATGTTGATACAGATACACATTTTTCAGGATTAATTTACAGAAACTGGAATTGAAATTCGAATTGTTTACTTTATTAAATGAAAAGGAATGGAAACCCCAGTGAACTTTATTAAAGATTTGCTTGTACTGAGTGTTATATAATCGTAATGGTTACAAATGCATAAAAGCAGCAGTCCATTAATTATTTATTTTAAAAGTATACAATGATCCTCTATTTGATGTTTCTATTATCAATGTTGGTGTATCTTCACAATATTCTGCAGGTAATAAAGACATACGGAAAATACAATCTGTACATTTTCAATAATATCCAAGAGTTTATACACTACATGTACATTTTTGACCTCTTGTTTTATTATTTGAACTTCGAGTGGTACAAATAATCGACACAGTATGTGTATTGATATTTCTCAATAAAAAAACATTTCCATGTGAGGAGATGAAGTCGGTACTACATATAACATAAATTTTTACAGTCTACCAGAGGTTACACTTGATAAACAAATAAATAAATCATTTATTGACAAAAAAATAAATCAGTTCAAGGAATTTTTACGTACTATGAAGCTCATCATAATTTCATTCTTCCGAAATGAAATTTCGAGGTCATTAAACTGCACGCAAACAGGTAAATTTCAACTCTAATTATACTGTTCCAAGTGTCTGCGATATTGATACTCTTCAAGTGAAGTCTTATGAAAAATGAACTAAAATTAGGCAAGTGTAATGATCCTGAACTCGACAATACTTTCTTAACCCATTAGGACCCAACATTACATCAACTCAACATTTCAGTCTCTATTTTTTTCAATGAATTTATACGGTTGAATTTCGTTTTCCGTATTGCAATTATGAAAGAAGATTTCAAAAACTTGCTTAATATTTTTTCATCACTATTTCGTCGTCCACGTAGATTCTACGACGTTTTGAAATTGGAAGCAATTGAAGTATTTACAACACTATCATAAACGAACCTTTTCTTAAACCATAACAATTTTTTGGCGTATCTTTCTCATGTAGTAGGTTTCTATAATATGTTGTCTAGTATTTTAATACATTTTTTATATTTCGACAAAACAATATATACGTATAAGTTATTTTATTTACGCTTTTGAATAAAAAAAATAGCCTAAAGTTGCATAACCGCAATATTTTGTTGCACAGAAAGTACCGGTCCACAAATTGTTATAACAACATTTATATTCTTTCTTATACACTTTTATAAGTGATAAATAATTATACCTGTAAAAGTAGCCGTATTTCACTGCTTGGGACTTAACACGAGACTACTACGGATTAATACCGAGTTCATTAATATAATTACCGAAGATACTGGATGGACGAAATCTGTCTCTTATCAGCTGCCCAATGTCAATCGGTTAGTAGGCACGACGCGCCGTAAATACAGTTCCGCGCGAGAAGCTGCATGTCATTCCGAATGCAAATTCTATTAAGCAGCGTTGAATACGAATGCGCGGGTAATAGCGATCGAATTGGCCCGTTATTTCTCACGAATCTCGTCTCGAATTCCACGGAGATCGCGTCGTCCCGCGCTCGCGATCGCGCGACGAGGAGAAACGCCAGGTATGCGGGGAAGGAAGTGGCCGGGGAAACGTTCCCCGCATAATCGTGCGATTTCTTCGCTGGGAACACGGCGAATACCGATACTCGATCGTGCTTAGAACGAAACGTGCATCACCGCCTTCGGGGAACCTGGCGCCCCGGACTCTCGAGGGCGTGAAAGACTTCGACCACGAGATCCAAGAATTTTTTCATATCCTTCTACACATACGTCACCGTGTGAATATTTTTGGTAGACTGCAGATTTTTTTTTATGCAAATATGGCATTTTGGAGATTAAATTGTCAAAACTGGACGCAAAGAAAAAATTATTTTCTCTAGTAAACCTTTATTAAGGGAGTTCTAGTAGATTCGAGGTGAAAACAAAATTTGTGTAGTTTTTCTGAAACTTTTTGGCACATACAGGGTGTTCGCGCGAACAGTGTACAGTCCGTTATTTCCTAAACTACTTCAGGTATGAGACAACTGTTTACATAAAATTAAGTCGAACGGGGGGTTAATTAACGACCTATGACGAACTTTTTTTAAACATTATTATTTTAAGAGATATGAACATCCAGTTTGGTTTCAAACATTTTTTCAGATATTGCGCTTATAAATTTATCTTCAACAGAAGAAAACCGGCTTGGAATAAGAAGCACCGGAGGTGTTCTTGTTAGCCCCTCAAGTGTCACGTAAATCAGTATATTTATAAACGCAATATCTCGAAAACAATTTGAAAAATGGTGCATACATTACAGGTTGCTGAATTCGTCTTGAAATGTAGTATCAAATGATCTAAAAAAAATATATAATTCCATTTAAAAAATCAAATATGACCTTCATATCTCTTAAAGTAACAATGTTAAAAAAAATCGCAATAGCCGGTAATTAGCCTTTTCGTGCCATTCAATTTTATGTGAACAGTTTTCTCGTAGATATTTCTAATAGTTTAGGAAATATCGCAATGTACACTGTTCGTACAGACACCCTGTACGTTGAATTTTAGACAAAAAGATATTGTATGAATGCATTAAATTCGCAGTCTACTTATTATATTTAATACAAATTTCAAAATTTGTTTATTTATTTATTTGTAACACGTTGAATACCGTGGGGGTCATCGATGACCAACACTCGACTTGCCAATAGCACCGATGTCCCTATTGGTGACAAGTAGTCTGTAATGTTTATATACTTTTTGATGCAATATTATAATAATATTGAACATAAATCGGTAACTGGAGGCATGATGCCAAACTTAATTCATTCAGCATTCAACATGCTAAACAACGATTTCTTAACAATTCTATTGCACAGTTTAAATTAACATTCTTACAATTTTTGTTATATCTACTATAGTTTTCAAGATTTATTCATTTACCTTGAACACTTTGACTGCCACGTCACCCAAATATGGGTAACATGTACATTGTAAAAAGGTTGGATCATTTAAATACCGTTACAAAAGTTTTGCGTAAAATTAATATCGCAGGATACTTTAAAACAACGCCAACAGCTTCTATTAAAAAACGAAATGAAGTGTGTCTGGCTATGCACGGCCCTTTCCGCTGTGGGAGTCAACGTGTTTAGGGATGTTTTCACTCTGAAGAGCAAAAAAGTAGCAAAAAGAAAAAATTGCCCTGTGCTTTGATTGAGGTTCCCTACAAACCTGCAAATTTTCAAGAAAATCGGAATTTTCCTGTTACCAAAATTCCCTCGTTAATTACGTCTGTGTTGATAGCATATTTCATGAAGTCCAAGCAGACACAGAAATTCTTTCACAAATCCTCATTACTTCTATTTTCATATATTACATACATATTTTAACAATGAATTATCTGCCATTACAAAATGTTTTCCGTATCAAATAGTACGGTATGTCTTTTTCTTTATTACCATACTAATCCTTCAGAGTTTTCTTTGACCGCCATTGCACACCGTATATGAGACGAAATGATATCCGGCGGAATTGTCGCGTCCCCCACCCACCCCCCAAAAGACGAACAGCCCGCGGTGAGCACACACGACGATCCGCGCTCGACGGATTCGTGAAAACCGTATGATCGCAAGCTGAACGCAACGAACCGTCGTCAACGGTGGCTGGGAACGTGGCGGGGGTCTCGAAAGAAAAATAATCGCGAACCACCTTTGTGACTTCAGGAAATTGCGGACCCTTTGATGGATCTGAAGCAGGGGATGGAGACCCTGCGAGTGAATAAAACGTTCCGCGGGATTCTGAGCACGCTCCTTTCGATCGGGATATTCCTGAACGGAAATGAGGTAGGTATTGAATGCCAGCCAAATGATATCCGCTTAATCCGTCCGTCGGAGACGCCAGTTCGCGCGGAATCGATATCCATCCCCCGCGCGTCGATAATTTTCGTGTAACCGTTAGCCGATGATACGGAAAGAAGGAAGAGTGAGAGCGGGGACCGCGGGAGCGGCGAGTAACGGACCGGAGGCAAGGTTGGCCGGCTGCCACGCTTCCGAAATCGGAAACCCCCTTGGTTTATCGCGCGTCGCTTTTGTTCCGATAATGATGGAGAACGTAGATGGTACTTGTTACTGTTTGCACGTTTGCGTTTCTGCGGTCTGCGGTTTGGAAAAGTGTGATTCTGGCTTGGTTGCGCTACGGGATGCTATACGGGGTATTTAACGCGTTTTGTTCCGTAGACCTGTTCCGCGTGACTTTTCGTGTTCAGGCTACGTGATTCATCGATAACCTAATCGTCCATGGTACACCGTTGAAAATTTGCAAAAGGTAAAACGGTCAATATTATTTGAACAAAACTACAGGGCGATGAAAAATAGATCTAAGACGTTAGGGGTTTAAGTACTCACCGAGAACAGTAAAAACTGTCTAATGAACATAGACCCTAGAATCAATGCTTTCTGTGTAAAATTAAGGGATGTTTCCTAAGTTCTCGGAGTTGTGTTATAAACTGCTTATTTTATTAATTTTTATGTACGTTATATTGTCATTCTTCAATATCATTGCCATTTAATTGTATTCACTTGCGCCAGTGCGAAACGGGATTCTTTAGGGCATTTAAGAAAATAACTATCAGAGAGTCTCGTTCGTCCATTGGTATACGGCTCGTTTTACGTTATTTAAGTCTTGACATCGCACACCACGTACAAACTTTTTCAACTTTGGAAACAGATGCTAGTCGCTAGGCGTCAGATCAGGCGAATAAGGTGAATGTGGGAGTAACACCCAGCGTGGCAGTTCTTTTAAAACCAACTTTTAAGAAAATAATGGCTTTTTTAAGAATTTACTACGTTTCCCATAGTTTCAAACTTAGCACTCAAAAACATACCTGTATTCGCCGAGCGGCTAAATCATTCTGATCCGCATTGATTAATATCGCTGTGAAAATCTATTAGAACTTGTCTGTGGCTGAAAACATTAGTGGCTGAAACATTATCTTTGCATTATTCAGCCAGATTCCAGTTCCTAGAACTTTGGAAACGTCCTTTGTAACTTTGATATTTACGAGTGTTCAATGTCATGAGTGAAATTCTTCGTAACATATTGAATGTCAACAGCAAAATTGGTTTAGGAGTACATTAATTCAAGGTTGTATAACAACACCAGATTGTTAGTGATTACTAACAAAGATTACTCGATAAACGCAAACCTAGTACATCCACAGATATGATGCGTTTGGCACGTTGTATGAATCGGAACCGTGTTCTAAGGGGGTTAATCAACATAGAACGTAGAATACTTCCTTGGTCATCATGCTGTTAAAAATATCTCAAACATTAACAATGGCCGTTCAGTAGACCATTTTCAATAATGACGTTTGTTGAGGGACTAAGCTCAATATTACACACGCACCCATTCACGAATAAAACAGCCCCGTGAGCGTCAATTTCCTCGAAAAATGACGCGAGTAATATTAATAACGAAAATTATTGTTTAAACTAAGCAAACGTCGGCTTCGAGCTGCAAAAAACGGAAACAGAGAGAGGGGGAGTGGGAGGGAGTGAGAGGGAGAGAGAGGGAGAGAGAGGGGTGTGAGAGGGAGACAGAGGGAGTGAGAGATGGAGTGAGTAGGAGTGAGATACTATCTTATGCAGTGCCGGGGCTGGACGCGCGATATCAAAACATACACGAATGGTAGATTCGCACGAATATTCGTGCGAGACACACGAGGGCCGGTCTTGATCCGACGTGGACGACGACGATTCCTTTTCATTCGTCAACGGTCGTTCCTGTACGAATATATTAGCCGCGGCGGTTCTTTGCGACCATTGCGACTAATCATTTCTTATCGCTCCTCCGCGTCCGTTGTACAGTGTGTTCTTACACGCTACGGTCATTTATCGAGGCTGTCGTACGGTCGTGGGCTTCGCAGCTGACGGTCAGCCGTGGACTCTTCCTCCGTTGGTCCCCGTCGGTGAATTAGCAAAAACGAACTTGGAAGGAGGGAGGCTGACTAAAACTTCTTATACGACTTGGTCAATTTTTCTTTGAAATTTCACACGAACTTAACCCTTTCCGACCATCAGATTTCATTTCAAATCGTTAACTCAGCATTTATAACTCATGTTATGAGCTTGAAGGTTCAATATGGCATCGTATCGTATAGTTCAGCGGTCCCTAACCTGGGGTACGCGCTTGGTGTTTTGAGGATACGCGAAAAAAAATTAAAAAACAGCAATTATGTGAATTACAACAATTTTTCTAATATTAGGGAATACAATTTAGGGAATATGGCTGCATAAATAAATGATTTTACGATTTTAATTATTTTTTATAATTACATTAGCTGAGTATAATTTCTCTATGTATTTTCAGTAGACAATTGTTAATTAGAAATCATTCAGTGTAAAAAGGTTGATTTCGTGATTTGATTTCTAGACAAACATAAAACTACATATTTTTCGTACTGTGACTCTAATAATTTGTTCATCTGTTGTATGTGCCCCTTTGCATTATTTATTTTAATTATACTGCAATTATTCATGTGTACGAAAATTTTTCATGCTATAGTATGAACAAGAACATTATTTCCCCTGTTAAGAATTCCGTTAGATTGTAACTACATTGAGAATTGCAGTAACTGCATCAATCTTACAATTAGACCAACTGACACCGAGCCACTCTTGATCTTGATTCGTCTACTTTAAACCGTACCCGCGGCCCACGGCCTTGAACAAGCATCTAGTCCCATCGTTCTCTTTGTGTGAAAAAGGCAGCCCAAAGGTGTAAAAATTGTAGTTCAAAGGTATGAAAAAAGTGGTCCAAAAATGTAAAACGATCTTTCAGGTCATCCAAACAAAAAAATTACGACTCCACAATATGATGCAAGAAACTTCGCAAAAGTTCGTGCCTTATACGTACAGAAGTAACAGGTCCTCGGTTCGATCCGCGCTTAGAATGCCGTTGGCGTCACGGGGGAGATGGGTGGATATCGATTCGAGGTTTTTCGCGAGAATCATGTTAGACGCTGAAAGTGGTCCCGGAAGCGGAACCGCCCGAAACGGCGAAGTTAACTCCGACGCGGCTACGGTTTTCCGGGCGTCGCCGTAACGCTGACACGTCCTTCTCGGCCTTTTTCAGGTGAAGGGCTTTCAGCTGGAATACCTCGCCAAAGTACCTGAAGTGAAGGACACGGTCCACAAGCATTCGCTGCTTCATCACCTTTGCCACATGGTGATGGAGAAGTTTCCGGATTCAACGGATCTCTATTCGGAGGTGAGTGCCGCCGCGGCCCGCTTTACTTCCGGATAAAACTTTAGTTCCGCGCCCCCGTCGCTAGACGGAATCGCCCAGGCTCTTGCCATTTGCGAAATCGCGGTTCAGAAGTTCGCCCCCCCCCCTCCCTCCTGTCCTCTCGACAACTTTTTCGGGAGTCTGTTACAAAGACCGTTCCGCAAGTCTGCAAGTAGATACTTTGGTTTTCGTTTAATTGCAGGTCACGCGGTATCCTCGTATAGGAATAGTTTCCAATTTATTGTCATTCAGAAACCTTGAACTGTATACAGGGTGTTCATAAATATATCAGGGCCATACTTATACTCCGTGCTAATGAGGCCAAGTAGATGAAAAATGTTCATGTAAACTTATGTCCGAAAATGCTTTTTCTCAGTTGGAGTTTTACAAGATGTTTTTTAAGCTTCAAAACTAGGGGTGTGCGAGTACTCGAATTATTCGATTAACTCGAATCTCGAGTCAAATAATTATCGGTCGATCGAGCCGAGTCGAGCGTTCGAATTCTTCAAGCTACTTGAAATCGATGAATTGTTCGAAAAAAGTGCGAGCTACTTGTAATATTCAAACGGTACGAATATTCGAGAACTCGTAAGACTTCGATTTACTTGAAAATGAATTTTCAGCTCGAAAATTGTTGAATTACTCGATACATTCGAACAGATCTTTAACTTTCGAGTTACCCGCAAATATTCGAATTGCTCGAATTACTCGAATATTTAGCTATTTACTATCAAATACTAATCTAATTGTTAGAAAGAAAAATATAAGAGAACACAATCAACAAGAAAACACATCCTCCACGTAATCAGTTAATAATTTTGTACGGGCAAAAGTTTGATCTACATAAAAATTTCGAATAATGAATAAAGAATGGAAAAATTTGGTTTGTTATTCGATGTTCGAATAAAAAAAGTATTTTTCGACGAGCGTCGAATGAATAAATTTATTCGATGAGAATTATCCGACGAATAGAAGATACTTTTTTTATTCAAAGTGTTTTAGTCGTAGCGTTGAATAAAATTTTCTTCTTTTATCTGATCCGTGTAATTCGAGCAGTTCGAATATTTACGAGTAACTCGAAAGTAAGAGATCCGTTCGAATATATTCGAGTAATTCGAACATTTACGGGCTGAAAATTCATTTTCAAGTAAATCGAAGTCTTTACGAGAGTTCAAATATTCGAGCCGTTTGAGTTTCTCAAGTAGCTCGCATTTTTTTCGAACAGTTCGTTGATTTCAAGTAGCTCGGAAAATTCAAACGCTCGACTCGACTCGAGCAATCGAACCGAGTTCGGCTCAGCTTGTAAATTACGAGTACTCGCACACCCCTATTCAAAACACCTCAAAAGCATATTTATTGAGTTGCACCACTAATCTTTCAAAGGACTGTCTTATTGGAAGAATCTTACCAAAGTTTCTGCATACAGTAGGATCAATTATTTTCTCAACTACAAAAAAATTATTATTGCTTCTTTGTATATTGTGGTTTTGCGAACCTTTTACGTATTACACTATCGCTCGTGAGTATTAGGACACCTGGCTTGTTTGAAGAAAATATAGTAGGACTTGGATTATTCTACTGCTAGTTGTTCATGTATTGTTCATGATCGAACATTTTTTTGCATGCTTAACCATTAGTGCAGACGTCATGAATAGAACTAACAGTCGTTTCTTAACCGTTTACGCGAGTGTATTGCAGTTGATGGACATCGTTCTAAACATCGTTTTAATTAAGGTAAATCATATTTTCTTAACGTTCCTTTGGTGTAGAAAAAAAATTATTTCTTATGATGCTTGCCGAATGCGTCTCAGTATCCGTTAAAAGATGGGTGCAGTAAAATTATAAGTTTATGTATAAAAAAACTGAAAGTAACCTTGAAAATTCTGGAATAAAGGGTTGAAAAAAAATTCAGTATAATAATCATCTTAAAGCTCTCCTTGAATCATGTTATATTAGCCAAAAAAATGTTCGATCGAACAGCTAATAGTAGAATAATCTGAGCTGATCATGTTTCGTGGTCCACCCTGTATATTTTAGGTTAAGATTATTACTTGATAATACAGTGATACCTCGATGAATGCGACACAACAACGGCGTTATTCCCACCATTGGGAGGGTTCCCGTTTGGAACCAATCAAAACAGAGTAAACAGAAGTTACGCAGAAGTTCGGCTTTGTGTGAAAAACCAATTTGTAAGGGGCTGAAAGCCTTTCTGCCTTGTTACGAATGCTTCAAACCGGATCCGAGTTCGTCGCAATCACCGAGACATTACTTTAGTATAAACGTTACCCATCGAGCTTTAATGTCCCCTAAATAATATGCGTTTCAGGCAGTTACCAATTTCGTACTGCATTGTAATATTTACTGCATATTCGATAAGTGTCCTAATACTTATGAGCGACAGTGTACATTACATTTTAAGTCGGTTGTTTCAACGCGTGATAGAAAGCGACGGGAATTTTATTTAGATCGGTGCTGTGACGAGAGCCTCGAAGATCGATTTTGACGAGCTGGCGTCCAACATCGGGAAGCTCGAGAGCGAGTGCAAGGCATCCTGGGACCATTTGAAGCTGATCGCGAAACACGACGGTTCCACCATGATGATTCCGTTTTCGATTACCGTCTCGGACACCTCTAGCAGAGTTTCTTCCCGCGAAACTTTCGACCGCGAGAATTCGGTGGCATCCGCGTGCGCAGTGTTCGATAAACTCGCGACAGACTTTCTCCACGAACGAAGCTGGCACCGTTCCAAATGGCACCACCATTAATTACCGAAAGCGTATTTCTTCCTTCCATGGTCCGACTTCCTGCCCGGTACCTTCAACTCCTTTTTTTCTCTTTTTTGTGATTTCTTTTTTTTTTTTGCTTCACCTTATCCCGCTTCTTCTTTGAACTCCGCGGTGGATCTTCGAAGTTTTTACCTTGTTCATCCTCATTCCCCTTGGTGGACATTATCTAAGTCGGTTATATCGAGCGATATTTTCTCCGTTCTTCGTTTAATTTCGCTCTATCTCCAGTTATTATACAAAGTTTTGAAGGTGGAGGTAAAATATGGTGCAATGACACTGTAGTCTATTTGTACATAATATTATTTAATAATTTATTGTACAATTGGTTAAAAGATAGGCACACATAAAAAGTTTAGAATAATATATAATGGATATTGTTACCCAGTATTCGTCAGATAAACACAATAATTTGAAACATAAATCATTATTTTCATTTTAGTAAGTAAATATTTATATTGATAGTAATTTAGTACAAAAATATGGATTGTATTCTGATGCACTATTTTTATTCGTTATCGATTATTCGAATAAGGTTATTACCATTCTTGGTAACGTTCTATAAAGATTGTTCTAAAATTCAAATTCTTTTTTATTTTCAAGCAAACAGTTTAGATTTGTTTTGAATGTTTGTAACTTAAACTGAAACTCAGAATCAGCAGTAATCTGTCTCATCGAAACTTTGTAAAGTAAAAATTTAATCTGCACAGTAGTTTACTTATGTAGAAGAATACTTTTAGGTCACTAATTATTAGAGATTTGTCATTTGGCCTGCAAAAATTTTGAACAAAAAGTTCAATTATGGAAACATTACACGCCGATAATAAAAAATAAAATTTCAGTGTATGATGAATGATACAGTTGGTGTGAAATTTTATATTTAAAAAAAACAGATCAAAATTGAACGTCATGTCGCCTGACTAGTACATCCAAGATTTTATAACATTTCCACTTTGATAACCAAAGAAAAATTCATTGGTATCATCTTCTCTGCCATCTTCCGGTGTCTAGTTATAAGCCCATTCAATTTCGTCCATCTTGGACATCATGTCGTCCAACCAGTTGATATCCTCCAGACTATAACATTTCGGTTCCTATAACCAGAGAGACATTTCTAGATGTCATCTTTTCCCCATCTTCCAATGTCTAATCCTTAAATTCATCCAATTCCTTCAATTTAGGACATCATAACGTCTGACCAATTCGTATCCTTAAGATTCAATAATATTTCAGTTTCGATAACCAGAGAACCATTCATCGGTATGTATCATTCAGCGTCTAGTCTTTAAGTCAATTCTGTCCGGGCAATCTTGGACATTATGTCGCTTAACTAGTTCGTATACTTCAGATTCTACAATATTTCACTTTTCATAAACGGATAAACATTCATTGGTATCATCTTCTCCGCCATCTTCCATTATCTAACCCTTCCTTCTAGCACATCCAATTTTGTCAATCTTTGTCATCATATCGTCTGACCAGTTCATATATTCAAAATTCTAAAATATTTTGGCTTTAATAACCAAATACCCATCGGTATTACCTTCTGCACCAGCTTTCAGTGTTCAGTATTTAATTCTATCCCGTCCTCGATAATTAACACAGGCGAAGAATGCACTTTCAATCAGCAGTTAGTGCCCAATGTTCTCTGGGATTGCCCACAGCCAGCGTCAGAGCCATCGTTAACGTTCCCCGTTTACGAGATCCTTTGTTCCCGGTGCATGCGTTAGGACGCGTTTAATCGTATTTACAGTTCACCGTCAACGGGGAACAATGCTCGGGACCTGGCAAATCTCGTACTTAATTGCAATGGCGCGACAAGGTGGGGGTCTCGATAAGTAGCAGTCGCTCGAGTAACGCTTCATAACCCGTCGGCCGGTGCACGTTGTTATTCCGCGCAGATATACCGCGTGCGATATTTTGTTTAACAGTGAAACATCTCGTTAATATAGCCGCGCCTCCTGTGCCCGTGTTAATTAACTGTAACGGGACGTCCGGAACCTCGGTTGCATTAATTCGTTTCTCTCCGGAATGTGTTCCGACCGATCGTCTTCATGGTGCACTGAATTTTTAGCGAAAAAAATTTTCTCTTGTCTTCATTTTAGTTGCGTGTTAACGGAACCATGCTTTACGGCAATGGAAGTTTCGTAAATATAAAATGTTCACATTTCATTAAGTAGCATTTTTTAATCGGCGAAAGGATGGCAAAATGTTTTGTCATTTTTTTAAACTCTTAACGGGTCAGGTGAAGTTTGAGCAATCTTATGAATGTCTTTAGAATATTTTATTTTCATTCAATAGTCGCTTTCTTACGTGAGAATGTGAAACAATTAGTTACGTAATTAATAATAGGATTTGTGTGTAGTAAGATTTGTGTGATAACTAGACTGCGGATTTTATGCGTTTATAGCGTACAGGTTATAGCAACAAGGTTTCTACTTTATTCTTAATCTAATAAGATACTTAAGGGGAAAACTAAATTCCTGCTTTTATTCTTGTCCTCATGGATTAATTTATACGATATCATTCTGCGTAAAAATCTGCAGTCTAGTGATAAGTTACTAGTGGACTTTTATGCAAAATGACATTTTCTAAAGTAATTCATAAAGATACGAGCAAATTGAAGCTTTCTTCTATTAAGAATCCTACATATTAGGTTCACAATTAAATAAAATATTCGTTGCATCTGGTAAAAGTTTTGAGTTTTATTCTATTTCACAAAGCTGTATGGGTTACAAGTGCATAAAATTTGCAGTCTAGTTATACGTAATAAGATTTTCAACTCACCAGTTAAGAGTTAAATTTACAATTCAGTTCGTATAGTGACGGTAATCTGCAAGTTTTTATATGCATATTACTATTTGGTATAAAATATGATAATGCGATGACGAATGCATATAATATTAGACACAATGAACATTAAAGTTGTACTGGCCCAGAAATCTAAGAAATACTTTGAACTTATATAAGAACACGATTTTTTCACTAAGAGCTACTAAAATACAATACTGGAAATATTTATTGCTTCACTCTGAAATTTACGTAATACGCACAATTTGCATAGTAATAATAATTGATAAAACGATTTCTAAAACAGAGATGGGTAAATTGATCATCTAGGTTCTAGATAAATATTTCGAATAACGAACAAAAGATAAAAGGAATTTGCTATTCTTAACACGATTAAACGTGAAAATTCCAATTTTTATAATAATGCTTCTTCTTGACAGATCATTATTTAATCTCATTAATTGTTCAAAGGTCAGGATAACGGTCTTAGATACTGTTGCTTTTCACTCTATAGATATTATTCGAATAAAATTGTGCTCAAATCTGCTCACACAGAAATTGCATATTCTAAATCTTGCGAATATTTATAATTTTAAAGCATGTAATATATTTGTCATACATCTCGTGGCATAGTTCACTAACAATTCAATGAAGACACATAAAAACGATAGAGACGAAACACGAACTCTACGCGTTTCTCACAGAAGCGTTTAAACGACCAAAAATAAAAAAAATCCACACACACACACGTTAACCGGACAGAATTTATTTCGCATTGAAGAACAAAACAACGGCTCTAACCCGTGGCACGTGCTCGATTCTCTGTCCACTCAGAATGTCCGACTTCCTGGCGGACTGCGCGGAGAGGATAATCGTGCTGGGGATCGTGCACAGGCGGATCATAAATCGATTCCATAAATTCATCCTCTGGCTGGGGATCCCGTTGCACAGGGTGCAGGATACGAAGCCGAACGAGTTCTGCCGTGTCGTGTCCGAATTCGCGTTGGAGTACCGAACGACCAGGGAGCGAGTGATACAGCAGCTCGAGAAAAAAGCCAATCACCGTGAACGAAATAAGACCAGGGGGAAGATGATCACAGAGGTGAGTTACACGTTGGGTCCTCATACTTTTTTTCCCACCCCTTCCCTCCCTCCTGGCCCCCCAGTCGCCGTTGAAAATCTTTCGGAGCCGGTGCTCTCATCAAATACAGTTATCGGAGCGTGAAGGGCATTATGGTGCTCTCTCCTCCTCCACTCTTTATCTCTCTTTCTCCATCCCACCTTCTCTCTCTTCGACTCTCCGTTCGAGGGGAATAAATTGCTTTTTTGCCGCGGAGGAGAATCAATTTCTTTTCTTGCCTACCGTTGCATTAATATCCCCCCCCCCCAGCTTGTTCTCCGTTTTCATTTCTGCAATATCCTCGAATATAACGGCGGTTGCCTGCCTGAACCCGATGTCTCCGTCTGATCGTTACAGGTTGGTAAATTCCGGACGAAGGAGGATCGCGCGGACGCGGAGCTCAGGCAACTGCTCGGAAGCGATATCTCCGACGTGGAGAGTATTCACGGTACCTTGCCCTGGAGGAGACAGAGGAAAGATGGTGAGTTCCATTCCACTCTTCCTTTCTTTGCTTGCCCCATTGCCCCTGCGTTTGCTACCTTCCCCGACCCTGAACCAGCACGTGTCCTTGGTCTGGGTTTTTATGCCCCAGATGGACGGTTTACCTCATCCGGAAACGGTGTTTCTTTCGCGTGGCGAACTTTGATGGCTTTTTCGTATGTATAATGCGTTTAAAATACACCGTGGAAATTGTTTGTGTGCTTGCAACGGTTTGATGGAAAAGTAATGTCAGTGCTGGGATAGGTTTTCTTTTTAAGCTTCTTATAGGTACTGCAATTCCTAATATGTAGTGTGTTATTTTGCTGGTGATACGGTATGCGTTTACCTAAGATTTATTCCTTGTCTGAACTCGAAAGTCTGTGCTGATGTAGTTAACATAATATTGGGTTGATTTATAAGCAATGACCGCTCCTTTAAGTTAACTTTATTAAAACATTGTTAAACAGTACTTGATTCTTAATCCAAAATAATTATCTAATATATTTGTAAAAAACAATTTTTGATAAATTCCTGGATTTGCTTAATATTAATGAAACTCTTCCCATTTAATGTACTTTGAAGACAACGAAATGAGTGATAATCCGTAAGGGTCAATAATTCTGAATTCTGCAATTGTCACTACTAAAGGGAAACAATATGACGCCTTGCGGGATATTCTTTTCTTTTATCTCAGTTCTTTTACCCCTCCTGTAAATAGAATTTTTCAACGTATATAAAGGGCAGATTATAACAGTATAAATTGTAATAGTAAACATTTTATGCATATTCTCAATAATAATATTCATAAAGTATTTTTATATCTTGTACACTCCATGTAACTTAATATTACGTGCACATTATTTTCTAAAAACTTTTTAATTTTCAATATCTGCACTGAAGAAAGTATAAGAACTTTATTTATTTTTTTATTTATTTATGGTTTATTTTAGTAACTGTTTATTTAACGGACATTTGAGCAGTATATTGTTAGTAAAAAAGTCTTCATAATTTTTTAGTCGAAAAAAAAACAGTATTTCAATGCATGAGAAAGTTCAGATGCTTTAATTGAATTTTATTGAATTGAGTAAATTTTAAGTCATGAAAACATTTCTTCCATTCGTTTTGTATTTCAAACTTTCGGACACGTGATTTGTTTAAAGCAAAAACTCAGGCGTAGAAAATTCATATATTCTTTTTTCAATATTGTCACTAATAAAAATGAATGTCAATACTCTCCTAAAGGTACGATTAAAATTTATAGTAATTATTCGTATAACTAAAAACTGATTTCACATCATCTTCGTAATACCATCACTACCTAACAATTATAAATAGTTCCTTAAGTCACCTTTCTAAAATTTCAGAAACATCATAAGATTGATAATGACATTGATCGACAACAATAACAACAACAATGTTTCGTCTTTATTACACAATCGAGAGTTATCACAATAAAACAGAATCAAGGATGATGATAAAACAACGCAAAAAAACTGAAAAATCTGGAAAAAGCGACATTCATTCGAACCTAGTAAACTGCTATTAAGCGAAACGAATGCGATAGCAAGCCATACACACAATTGATCAAAACATCCACGAAACATACCGCAACGCTTTTTTCCACCCTCTCCCTCGATCCACATCGATCCGCCTACCCCGTACCATTTCCAGCGTCGTTATATTAAACGAAAATAATCGTCGTGGCGTACCTGTACCGAGCATCGGGTACGCAATTTGCAACGTAAATCCCTTTTTCCGTCGGTCGCGTTCATTGATCGAGGCATTCTAATATCCTGTACTCGACAAGTTTCATATTTCTACATTACTATGATGTCTGGCTGCAGCGAAACCGTAGAATACAGAACCCAGGCAATAAAACGCAATAATACCGTCGCCCGATCAAGGGGCAAAAATCGTCGCAAGCGAGTGCACGGGTTTTTCCCCGTCCGATCTCGCGGAACGAACCGCCGTTCCATGATTTTTCCCCCAATGAGGGGGTAAAAAAATAGGAACTTTTCCATTCCGAGGGAGGGGGATAGTGGTCGTCGGGGTCAAGTAAAGGCTGGTCCTCAACTTTTTCGCTCGCGGTCGGAAATATAACGCGTCGCCTTAAAAGGATAAGCCTCCACCCCCTCGCAGCTCCCTCCTGACCGAAGATAAGAACAAAGTGCGAAAATTTCTCCTCGTTTCCGTAATGTTCTAGCCGGTGGCGGTGCGAGATAAATGCCCTCCTTAAGTAAACTCTCATCCAGCCCGAGATATACCCGGGGATAACGCGGGCTCATTTGACGGCCTTAACCAGAAAATGAAAAGTAACGGCATCGAGATTTCGGAAGGCACCCAGTGACCGCGTTCCTCTGCCCACGGAAACCCCGGAAATCGAGTTTAACTCGAGAAATTCACCCCGCTTCCGTTGGGAACGTTGTTTTCCTTTCTGAGCCTCCGTTTTACCGTCGTTCTTTGCCCTCGAGTTCGCTACCAGAGTTTTCTTCTTTGGTGCTACAGCATTAGCTAATTTGATTCTTCGGGGTAATGTTTAAAATTTTTGTGTGCATTGATAAACCATTCGCAAGGGAGATTTGTGGAGTCGTAAACTGTTTCTGGTCTTTTATGCACGTCAGGTGACCTTATTGTATTTGGAAACTGCGTAATGAAGATTTTATTCTTTGGAAGACGGGCAGGTGTTTTCATAACTTCTTATGTATTTGAGTTGGAACTTTTACATATTTGTTATAGTAGTATACTACGAAAAATAAGCGACCCCTCTGAAACCTAGAAATAGGTTTCCTGTCCTCTAATGGTTAATATTATTATGGCAATATGTATTATATTGCTGCAAATAATTTGAATTTAATTTTATAAGAAGATATTTGTGTGAAAAGTTACAATATTCATATCTTGAAAATGATCATATTTTCCGAATATTGTTTTAAACGACCTATTTTAAAGGCCAGGATGCGTAGCATATATCTTGTTTATGTAGTGAAGAAATGACGGTTAGAACTTGCCTAACAAATTAATCTATAGCTAGTTTCTGAAACTGATAGTCTGACTGATGTGATTCACAAGATGGAACTAAAATGTTAATATTTTACATTTTTTCGTATTGTACTTTACTGATGCTGAACATGCTGTATATGTACCTAGTTAACATTTGCTTTTCTCAAGAAAAATTGATTTGTCAAAAGTGCAGCGATTTAAATATTGTTCTATAAGGTAGATGTCAAAAATGTTAACTTGTTACAGTAAAAAGTATTATGATAAATATCTGCGGCAACAATATCCTCCTTATAAACTGAATCATTCATATTATATGTATAGTCGGTACGAAGGCTTATAGGAGTGAGTGTTTGATTAGGTATGGATTCAGACTACTTGATTTGAACATCATACTAGCATTATACTTTGTGACCCAGATTTGCGTAGGAGAAGAAAATCTATATTTAAAAACAATTCATAGTACTTCAAAGTATATTTATTTTTTCATAACTTCATTTATTTACTGTCTCTTAAATTTTCAAATACCCATGTTTTGCATTCTTACAGGCAATATACACTTTTGGGAACTATACAATTTTACTCGTTTTGTATATTTCTTTCGTAATTGTAACATTTAATTTATTTTAGCGTGATACATTTATCTATTGTATTGCTTTATTTAATGGATTCATATTTATTTAGTAGTCAAACATATTTGTCACTCTACTGCTCCCCTTATACGTGGCACAGATCGTATCATTTTCCTGTAAAATCGTATTTCGTTCATTATCACTGATCGGGCATAATTTTACTGCAGGTTTTTAAACAAATTTACATTTATACAAAATGATTTTCCCCAAAATTTACTTTTACTATTGCAAATATTATTGGGTGAAAACATGAATTTCATTACAATTATTCTTTTATTATATTATGTATATTATAATGTTCGGTAAATGTATCAAATCCAGAATCTGTAGATAATTTTTCAACCTTCCACGATTTTCATTTATTTTATTATATATTCATATACTGATATAAAAAATAGTTTTGCTCCGTTACTATGTACACGTATTCTTCTGACAGCGTCATCACAAGAACTGTATTTTCTCATGTAATTCTTTTGTATTTTATTTTCATATTTTAAAGGTATTGTTATCGCTGATATAAATTGAAATAATCTAGAATTTCCTCCATTATTTTTATAAAATGATGAAAAATAGAGTTTGTAGAATTAAAATAAATTATTGGAATCGACATTTCCATCTATCTAGGAAAATTATACAATATTGTAACGCTGTGAGACATAAACAAACAATCTACTATTTATTTCCCACCAACTTAATGTCTCGAACTTTCTTTTAGAAAAATTAGATATTACAGTACGCAGTGTAAGTCTCTACGTGCTTGGATCATAAAACGTTCCGCACCAGTAACGAATATACATGGTGTTTTACCTGACTTTATCACCTAAAATATTTCTACTGTATTTAAAATTTCATAAGTAGGTTTCCTACCAAAACTGCACAGTTTTGTGGAATCCGGCTTACAATAACAATAATTTTATTTTTTTTTGAGACGGGTTAATGAGATACAAAGGTCAACTTTGGTTCTTTCAATGGAATGTTGTAGTTTTCTTGTCGGTACCGAACAGCCACATTGAAAACGAATTGAACGTTCTACAACAATAAGTCGTTCAAGGTCACTAAAGGTAGCACAAACAAAATTTTCTTAATACACTTCACTTGTTTACTAACATTGTTGTAAGACCTTTAGTGACCTTGAAAGAGTTTTTGTTATAGGTCGTTGAATTTGTCTTAAACACATTAACTGTCCCACTAAAGAAGACAGTACGTAGCCAGACATACTTTATTTTGTTTTTTTAAGTTATAATTCGTCGAAATATGCATTTAATCAAAAGAGGCTGTTGGTCTCGTTTTAAATGATATTACGATATTAATTTACGCAAACTTTTCTAACGGTACTTGAACAGTCCAGCCCCCTGTGCAATGTATGTGTCAC